TTTGCACACGCTAGGCCCTTGTTCTTGCAATTTTGCACACGCTAGGCCCTTGTTCTTTTTTTTTTTGCACACGCTACGCCCTTGTTCTTTTTTTTTTTCACACGCTAGGCCCTTGTTCTTGCTATTTTGCACATGCTATGCCCTTGTTCTTTTTATTTTGCACACGCTAGGCCCTTGTTCTTGCAATTTTGCACATACTAGACCCTTGTTCTTTTTTTTTTGCACACGCTAGGCCCTTGTTCTTGCTATTTCGCGAATGCTAGGCCCTTGTTCTTGATTTTTTGCACACGCTAAGCCCTTGCTCTTGCTATTTTGCACTCCCTAGGCCCTTGTTCTTGCAATTTTGCACACGCTAGGCACTTGTTCTTGCAATTTTGCACACGCTAGGCCCTTATTCTTTTTATTTTGCACACGCTAGGCCCTTGTTCTTTTTTTTTTGCATACGCTAGGCCCTTGTTCTTGCTATTTTGCACACGCTATGCCCTTGTTCTTTTTATTTTGCACACGCTGGGCCCTTGGTCTTGCAATTTTGCACATGCTAGACCATTGTTCTTTTTATTTTGCACACGCAAGGCCCTTGCTCTTGCTATTTCGCGAACGCTAGGCCCTTGTTCTTGATTTTTTGCACACGCTAGGCTCTTCCTCTTGCTATTTTGCACTCGCTAGGCCCTTGTTCTTGCAATTTTGCACACACTAGGCCCTCGTTCTTGCAATTTTGCACACACTAGGCCCTTGTTCTTTTAATCTTTCATACGCAAGGCCCTTGTTCTTTTTATTTTGAACACGCTATGCCCTTGTTCTTTTTATTTTGCACACGCTAAGCCCTTGTTCTTGCAATTTTGCACATGCTAGACCCTTGTTCTTTTTTTTTTTGCACACGCTAGGCCCTTGTTCTTGCTATTTCGCGAACGCTATGCCCTTGTTCTTGATTTTTTTACACATACTAGGCCCTTGCTCTTGCTATTTTGCACACGCTAGGCCCTTGTTCTTGCAATTTTGCACACGCTAGGCCCTTGTTCTTTTAATTTTTCACACGCAAGGCCCTTGTTCTTTTTATTTTGCACACGCTATGCCCTTTTTCTTTTTATTTTGCACACGCTAGGCCCTTGTTCTTGCAATTTTGCACATGCTAGACCCTTGTTCTTTTTATTTTGCACACGCTAGGCCCTTGTTCTTGCTATTTCGCGAACGCTAGGCCCTTGTTCTTGATTTTTTGCACATACTAGGCCCTTGCTCTTGCTATTTTGCACACGCTAGGCCCTTTTCTTGCAATTTTGTATATGCTAGACCCTTGTTCTTGCAATTTCGCACACGCTAGGCCCTTGTTCTTTCTATTTCGCGAACGCAAGGCCCTTGTTCTTGTTTTTTTGCACACGCTAGGCCCTTGTTCTTGCAATTTTGCACACGCTAGGCCCTTGTTCTTGCAATTTTGCACACGCTAGGCCATTGTTCTTGCAATTTTGTACATGCTAGGCCCTTGTTCTTTTTATTTTGTACACACTAGGCCCTTGTTCTTGCTATTTTGCACACGCTATGCCCTAGTTCTTCTTATCTTGCACACGCTAGGCCCTTGTTTTTGCAATTTTGCACATGCTAGACCCTTGTTCTTTTTATTTTGCACACGCTAGGCCCTTGCTCTTGCTATTTCGCGAACGCTAGGCACTTGTTCTTGATTTTTTGCACACGCTAGGCCCTTGCTCTTGCTATTTTGAACTTGCTAGGCCCTTGTTCTTGCAATTTTGCACACGCTAGGCCCTTGTTCTTTCAATTTTGCACACGCTAGGCCCTTGTTCTTTTTATTTTGCACACGCTAGGCCCTTGTTCTTTTTATTTTGCACACGCTAGGCCCTTGTTCTTGCTATTTTGCACACGCTATGCCCTTGTTCTTTTTATTTTGCACACGCTAGGCCCTTCTTCTTGCAATTTTGGACATGCTAGACCCTTGTTCTATTTATTTTGCACACGCTAGGCCCTTGTTCTTGCTCCTTTGCGAACGCTAGGCCCTTGTTCTTGATTTTTTGCACACGCTAGGCCCTTGCTCTTGCTATTTTGCACTCGCTAGGCCCTTGTTCTTGCAATTTTGCACACGCTAGGCCCTTGTTCTTGCAATTTTGCACACACTAGGCCCTTGTTCTTGCAATTTTGCACATACTAGGCCCTTGTTCTTTTTATTTTGCACACGCTATGCCCTTTATCTTTTTATTTTGCACACGCTAGGTCCTTGTTCTTGCTATTTTGCACACGCTATGCCCTTGTTCTTTTTATTTTGCACACGCTAGGCCCTTGTTCTTGCAATTTTGCACATGCTAGACCCTTGTTCTTTTTATTTTGCACACGCTAGGCCCTTGTTCTTGCTATTTCGCGAACGCTAGGCCCTTGTTCTTGATTTTTTGCACACGCTAGGCCCTTGTTCTTGCTATTTTGCACACGCTATGCCCTAGTTCTTTTTATCTTGCAAACGTTAGGCCCTTGTTTTTGCAATTTTGCACATGCTAGACCCTTGTTCTTGCAATTTTGCACACGCTAGGCCCTTGTTCTTGCAATTTTGAACACGCTAGGCCCTTGTTTTTTTTATTTTGCACACGCTAGGCCCTTGTTCTTGCTATTTTGCACACGCTATGCCCTAGTTCTTTTATTTTGCACACGCTAGGCCCTTGCTCTTGCTATTTCGCGAATGCTAGGCCCTTGTTCTTGATTTTTTGCACACGCTAGGCCCTTGCTCTTGCTATTTTGAACTCGCTAGGCCCTTGTTCTTGCAATTTTGCACATGCTAGGCCCTTGTTCTTTCAATTTTGCACACACTAGGCCGTTGTTCTTTTTATTTTGCACACGCTAGGCCCTTGTTCTTTTTATTTTGCACACGCTAGGCCCTTTTTGTTGCTATTTTGCACACGCTATGCCCTTGTTCTTTTTATTTTGCACACGCTAGGCCCTTCTTGCAATTTTGCACATGCTAGACCCTTGTTCTTTTTATTTTGCACACGCTAGGCCCTTGTTCTTGCTCTGTTACGAACGCTAGGCCCTTGTTCTTGATTTTTTGCATACGCTAGGCGCTTGTTCTTGCTATTTTGCACTCGCTAGGCCCTTGTTCTTGCAATTTTGCATACGCTAGGCCCTTGTTCTTGCAATTTTGCACACACTAGGCCCTTGTTCTTGCAATTTTGCACACACTAGGCCCTTGTTCTTTTTATTTTGCACACGCTATGCCCTTGTTCTTTTTATTTTGCACACGCTACTTCCTTGTTCTTGCTATTTTGCATACGCTAGGGCCTTGTTCTTGATTTTTTTGCACACGCTAGGCCCTTGCTCTTGCTATTTTGCACTCGCTAGGCCTTTGTTCTTGCGATTTTGCACAGGCTAGGCCCTTGTTCTTGCAATTTTGCACACGCTATGCCCTTGTTCTTTTTATTTTGCACACGCTAGGCCCTTGTTCTTGCTATTTTGCACACGCTATGCCCTTGTTGTTTTTATTTTGCACACGCTAGGCCCTTGTTCTTGCAATTTTGCACATGCTAGACCCTTGTTCTTTTTATTTTGCACACGCTAGGCCCTTGTTCTTGCTATTTCGCGAAAGCTAGGCCCTTGTTCTTGATTTTTTGCACACGCTAGGCCCTTGCTCTTGCTATTTTGCACTCGCTAGGCCCTTGTTCTTGCAATTCTGCACACGCTAGGCCCTTGTTCTTGCAATTCTGCACACGCTAGGCCCTTGTTCTTTTTATTTTTCACACGCTATGCCCTTATTCTTTTTATTTTGCACACGCTAGGCCCTTGTTCTTTTTATTTTGCACACGCCAGGCCCTTGTTCTTTTTATTTTGCACACGCTAGGCCCTTGTTCTTTTTATTTTACACACGCTAGGCCCTTGCTCTTGCTATTTTGCACTTGCTAGGCCCTTGTTCTTGCAATTTTGCACACGCTAGGCCCTTGTTCTTTCAATTTTGCACACGCTAGGCCCTTGTTCTTTTTATTTTGCACACGCTAGGCCCTTGGTCTTTTTATTTTGCACACGCTAGGCCCTTGCTCTTGCTATTTTGCACTTGCTAGGCCCTTGTTCTTGCAATTTTGCAAACGCTAGGCCCTAATTCTTTCAATTTTGCACACGCTAGGCCCTTGTTCTTTTTATTTTGCACACGCTAGGCCCTTGTTCTTTTTATTTTGCACACGCTAGGCCCTTGTTGTTGCTATTTTGCACACGCTATGCCCTTCTTCTTTTTATTTTGCACACGCTAGGCCCTTGTTCTTGCTCGTTTGCGAACGCTAGGCCCTTGTTCTTGATTTTTTGCACACGCTAGGCCCTTGTTCTTGCAATTTTGCACACGCTAGGCCCTTGTTCTTGCAATTTTGCACACACTAGGCCCTTGTTCTTGCAATTTTGCACATACTAGGCCCTTGTTCTTTTTATTTTGCACACGCTATGCCCTTTATCTTTTTATTTTGCACACGCTAGGTCCTTGTTCTTGCTATTTTGCACACGCTATGCCCTTGTTCTTTTTATTTTGCACACGCAAGGCCCTTGTTCTTGCAATTTTGCACATGCTAGACCCTTGTTCTTTTTATTTTGCACACGCTAGGCCCTTGTTCTTGCTATTTCGCGAACGCTAGGCCCTTGCTCTTGCTATTTTGCACTCGCTAGGCCCTTGTTCTTGCAATTTTGCACACGCTAGGCCCTTGTTCTTGCAATTTTGCAGTGGCTAGGCGCTTTTTTTTTTTATTTTGCATACGCTAGGCCCTTGTTCTTGCTATTTTGCACACGCTATGCCATTGTTCTTTTTATTTTGCACACGCTGGGCCTTTGTTCTTGCAAGTTTGCACATGCTAGACCCTTGTTCTTTTTATTTTGCACACGCTAGACCCTTGCTCTTGCTATTTCGCGAACGCTAGGCCCTTGTTCTTTCAATTTTGCACACGCTAGGCCCTTGTTCTTTTTATTTTGCACACGCTAGGCCCTTGTTCTTTTTTTTTTGCACATGCTAGGCCCTTGTTGTTGCTATTTTGCACACGCTATGCCCTTGTTCTTTTTATTTTGCACACGCTATGCCCTTCTTCTTGCAATTTTGCACATGCAATTTCGCCGGAACGAAGAACGTAGGTGCAGGGACTAGTACCCCCACCCCTCTGACGCCCAGCGTACCACTCACGAAGCTGCTGAGGCGGAGGGATGTCCCGCGAGCACTGCTGCTGCTGCCGCTGCGAGCGCTGGCCACCACCACCACCGCTACGCTGTTGGGTACCACCCCGACCAGCTCCACCTCCTCCACCACCACCGCCACCTCCGTTGCTGCCTCCACCGCCTCCACCTCCGCCGCCTCCACCTCCGCCGCTGCCTCCACCACCACCGCTGGCACCACCACCACCGTCTCCGCCGCTGCTGCCACCACCACCACCACCCCCGCCACTAGTCCCGCCGCCACCCCCACTCCCTCCGCCGCCACCGCCGCCACCGCCACCGCCCCCTCCAGCTCCACCCGCGCCCTTGCCCCCCTTGCCCTTGCTGGAGCGACGTCTCCCACTAGGGGCAGACGCCGCGCCGACCGACTCAAGACCAAGCAGGTCGGCAGCAGCAGCAGAGGCAACAGAGGGCAGCAAGGGGGAAGGAGAGCACCCCTCAAAGATGGGGGTGCGAGGGTCACCACGAGAAGCACCTACAGCGACTATGCTCTTCTCCGCTGCGAGGAGGGCCTTCTCGAGGAGGTCGACGGTGAGGGTGGTGGGACAGACTGCGAGAAAGTGGTCCCTGACGACACGAAGGGAGTCAGGGAGGCGCGCAACTACGTAGTAGAGAGCGATGTACATGGGGGGGGGGGGGGGTTCTTAGCGCAGAATTCAGCAGGAAGGGCGGTGCGGTAGCGAGTGTCACTAGTGCGAGGTGTGTAATGAGGTCAGCGACAGTGGGAAAGGCAGAGAGGTCAGGAAAGAGGTAGGGAAGCATGAGACGGCTCAGTGCAGCAGTGGCAGGGGAGGAGTAGCGCGCAACTACAGCGTCGTACAAGGTCTGAGCACTCTTGTACTGACTAAAGTGCGCGCGCTCAGAGGTAGGGAGGTGGCGACGCACAGCAAGACGTGCAGCAGCATCGCGGGTGGCCCACTGAGAGCGCACAGTGGGATCAGCATCGGCAGCAGGAGCAGGAGAGGCGCCAGAGGTAAGGTCAAAGAGAGAGAGGCCATCTGCCCTATCGCACTGTAAAAACAACTGCAGGTCGTCTACCCAGACCTCAAAGTCAATGGCTCGACCCTCAGCGTCAAAAGCTAGGACACTAGGGGTAGCCATGACGACGACAGCGAAGCAGTGCAAGCAGTAGGGGAAGAGCACGCAAGTGACAGTGCGACTGTGCTCACCAGGCAGGGCAGGCCGGGCAACTCTGCAGAAGGGCGGCTCGGCGACTCAGCGACTCGGCTGCTGGGCGGCTCGGCTCCCGGGCGGCTCGGCGGCAGGGCGGCTCGGGTGCAGGGCGGCTCGGCGCCCGGGCGGCTCGGCGGCAGGGCGGCTCGGGTGCAGGGCGGCTCGGCTCCCGGGCGGCTCGGCGGTAGGGCGGCTCGGGTGCAGGACGGGGCCGGGACAGGGGACGGCGGGGCCGTCAGGGTGCAGCGGCGGGGCCGACTGGTGCGGTGGCGGGGCCGTCAGGGTGCAGCGGCGGGGCCGTGACAGGGGACGGCGGGGCCGTCAGGGTGCAGCGGCGGGGCCGGCAGGGTGCAGCGGCGGGGGGCCGGGACAGGGGACGGCGGGGCCGTCAGGGTGCAGCGGCGGGGCCGACTGGTGCAGTGGCGGGGCCGTCAGGGTGCAGTGGCGGGGCCGTGACAGGGGACGGCGGGGCCGTGACAGGGGACGGCGGGGCCGTCAGGGTGCAGCGGCGGGGCCGACAGAGGTGCAGCGGCGGGGCCGGCAGGGTGCAGCGGCGGGGCCGGGACAGGGGACGGCGGGGCCGTCAGGGTTGCAGCGGCGGGGCCGACAGGTGCAGTGGCGGGGCCGTCAGGTTGCAACGGCGGGGCCGAGAGTAGGGGACGGCGGGGCCGTCAAAAGAGGACGGCGGGGCCGTCAGGTGGCGGGGCCCGCTGCAGCGACGAAGAGGCCGCGCGGCCGGCGTGAGGGCGGCGGGGCGCAGCAGAGCCGAGAGGGCAGCCCGGCACGGCCGTAAGGCCAGCGCGACGTGGGGCCCTGGCCGCGCGCGCGACAAAAAGGACTCGCGCGCGCGACTCGCGGGGCGCCACAAGGGCAGCGCGACAAGCACTAGGGGGGAGCGCGCCTCGGGGAGAATAGGGCGCGCTCCGGGCAGGAAAAAAAATAAAAAAATTGTGGGTGGGACCTTAAAAAAAAAACGGTCCTTAGGAAGGACCCGCTCTATACCATGTGAGAATCAATGAACAGGAATGAAATGACTAAGTCAGAGTTGGGTACAAATACAACCCTAGAAAGCTGTACCCCATATGTGCTACCCCACTATAGCCTACAAACACGCATCAACCATGATAATCTGACAATAGCGTGTGCAAAATAGCAAGAACAAGGGCCTAGCGTGTGCAAAATAAAAAGGACAAGGGCCTAGCGTGTGCAAAATAAAAAGAACAAGGGACTAGCGTGTGCAAAATTGAAAAAACAAGGGCCTAGCGTGTGCAAAATTGCAAGAACAAGGGCCTAGCGAGTGCAAAATAGCAAAAGCAAGGGCCTAGCGTGTGCAAAAAATCAAGAACAAGGGCCTAGCGTTCGCGAAATAGCAAGAGCAAGGGCCTAGTGTGTGCAAAATAAAAAGAACAAGGGTATAGCATGTGCAAAATTGCAAGAACAAGGGCCTAGCGTGTGCAAAATAAAAAGAACTAGGGCATAGCGTATGCAAAATAGCAAGAACAAGGGCCTAGCGTGTGCAAAATTAAAAGATTAAGGGCCTAGCGAGTGCAAAATAAAAAGAACAAAGGCCTAGCGTGTGCAAAATTGCAAGAACAAGGGCCTAGCGTGTGCAAAATTGCAAGAACAAGGGCCTAGCGAATGCAAAATAGCAAGAGCAAGGGCGTAGCGTGTGCAAAAAATCAAGAACAAGGGCCTAGCGTTCGTGAAATAGCAAGAACAAGGGCCTAGCATGTGCAAAATAAAAAGAACAAGGGTCTAGCATGTGCAAAATTGCAAGAACAAGGGCCTAGCATGTGCAAAATTAAAAGAACAAGGGCCTAGCATGTGCAAAATAAAAAGAACAAGGGCCTAGCGTGTGCAAAATTGCAAGAACAAGGGCCTAGCGAGTGCAAAATAGCAAGAGCAAGGGCCTAGCGTGTGCAAAAAATCAAGAACAAGGGCCTAGCGTTCGCGAAATAGCAAGAACAAGGACATAGCGTGTGCAAAATAAAAAGAACAAGGGTCTAGCATGTGCAAAATTGCAAGAACAAGGGCCTAGCGTGTGCAAAAAAAAAAGAACAAGGGCATGGCGTGTGCAAAAAAGCAAGAACAAGGGCCTAGCGTGTGCAAAATTGCAAGAACAAGGGCCTAGCGTGTGCAAAATAAAAAGAACAAGGGCATAGCGTGTGCAAAATAAAAAGAACAAGGGCCTAGCGTGTGCAAAATAAAAAGAACAAGGGCCTAGCATGTGCGAAATTGCAAGAACAAGGGCCTAGCGTGTGCAGAATTGCAAGAACAAGGGCCTAGCGATTGCCAAATAGCAAGAGCAAGGGCCTAACGTGTGCAAACAATCAAGAACAAGGGCCTAGCGTTCGCGAAATAGCAAGAACAAGGGCCTAGCGTGTGCAAAATATAAAAAACAAGGGTCTAGCATGTGCAAAATTGCAAGAACAAGGGCCTAGCGTGTGCAAAATAGCAAGAACAAGGGCCTAGCGTGTGAAAAATAAAAAGAACAAGGGCCTAGCGTGTGCAAAATAAAAAGAACAAGGGCCTAGCGTGTGCAAAATTGCAAGAACAAGGGCCTAGCGTGTGCAAAATTGCAAGAACAAGGGCCTAGCGAGTGCAAAATAGCAAGAGCAAGGGCCTAGCGTGTGCAAAAAAATCAAGAACAAGGGCCTAGCGTTCGCGAAATAGCAAGAATAAGGGCCTAGCGTGTGCAAAATAAAAAGAACAAGGGTCTAGCATGTGCAAAATTGCAAGAAAAAGGGCCTAGCGTGTGCAAAATAAAAAGAACAAGGGCATAGCGTGTGCAAAATAGCAAGAACAAGGGCCTAGTGTGTGCAAAATAAAAAAGAACTAGGGCCTAGCGTGTGGAAAATAAAAAGAACAAGGGCCTAGCGTGTGCAAAATTGAAAGAACAAGGGCCTAGCGTGTGCAAATCTGCAAGAACAAAGGCCTAGCGAGTGCAAAATACCAAGAGCAAGGGCCTAGCATGTGCAAAAAATCAGAACAAGGGCCTAGCGTTCGCGAAGTAGCAAGAGCAAGGGCCTAGTGTGTGCAAAATAAAAAGAACAGGGTCTAGCATGTTGCAAAAGTTGCAAGAACAAGGGCCGGAGCGTGTGCAAAATAAAAAGAACTAGGGCATAGCGTAATGCAAAATAGCAAGAACAAGGGCCTAGCATGTGCAAAATATAAAGAACAAGGGCCTAGCGTGTGCAAAATAAAAAGAACAGGGCCTAGCGTGTGCAAAATTGCAAGAACAAGGGCCTAGGATGTGCAAA